TCAGATATTCAGATTCGGGAATCCTGAAGGAATTCCACTAGAAATTAGAGAATTTCTTCGGAAATTTTGAGAGAATTTCTCTGTATAATCGAAGATTTCCTCTGAAAGATCTTAGAAAAAACTCCAGGTATTCGTAGAGAGTATTTTCAAAAAAAAAAAGTGTTAGTTCTTCCAGAAAGTCGAACATTTTTCCTCCAGAAATACTTAAAGAATCCCTTCAGGAGATGTGAAATGATTCCTTCGGGAGTTCTAAAAATGTTGCTCAGAGTATTCCCCCAGGATTGAGAGAATTATGCTGGGAATTTAGAAAGATTTTCTTAAGTAAAAATATTTTTGAATTCTTTTGGGGATTCTGAGAGAATTCTCCCGTGCCCCTCCAAAAATTTTGAGAGTAATCCTGGAATGATTCCGGGAAGTCTATTTTTTTTCAAAAAATCGAGTGCCTCTGTAACTTCACCGACACACCGACATGAAACTTAAACTTAACTCTTGATCGAGAATTCATAACGGCGGATTCATGCAGCGATCCCATCTGTTAAAACCATAGAAATTTGTTATCTAGATAAAAACTAATTTGCCCGGAATAGATTAGACACAAAGCAACTCACACATTTTGTATGCGTGTTTGTGGCTAGGAACCACATTTAGTGCGAATACGGCAGCAGATGCCAGTTTTGTGCTTTGATCATAAATTTTATGGTGCTTTGTATGGTCATTCATGTCGATTTGTCGGTGATAATTCTTCTGGTAATTCTGTTGGAATTCCCTCAACAATGCAAAGATTTTTCCTTCAGGAATTTTGATAGAACTTTTCCACGAGCCCATAGCGAGTATCCATGCCTCTAACGCCAAACGCGTCAAGTCACGAATGATCAAACATTTGATAAAATTACTATAATATCAAAAGGAGAAGATATCCGGCGGTGATACGCTCCGGCAAAATGACAGCTAAATCTTTTGTCTAACTGTCAGATTAACCGCAACGGATCAGATCCATTGTGTGTGGCTCATAAGAATTCTTCCTGGAATTTAGGGAGAAAAATTCCAAAATTTCAGAGATATTCCTTCCGAGAACTCAGAGAGAATTCCTTCAAAAATTGAAAATTTATCTGGATAATAGAAGATATCCCCTGAAAATTCTTAGAGATTAACTCCAGGCTTTTGCAGAGAGTATTTCCAGCAATTTGGAGTTAGTTCTTCCGGGAAGTTGGACAGTATTCCTCCGAAAATACTAGGGGAATTCCTTTAGGAAAGGGAGCACGATTCCTTCCTGGGAGTTCTCAACAAGTTGCTCAGAGTATTTCTTCCGGGATTGAGAGATAATTCTTCCGGGAATTTAGCAAAATTCTGATTGAATGCTTTTGAGAACTCTGAGAGAATTCTTTTGAGATTCTAAAATGCTGATGTAGTTCTTCAGTAATTTAGAGAGCATTCTCCTGTGACCTTCCAAGAATGTTGAGAAAATTCGTCTGAGAATTTTGAGAAAATTCCTACGAAAATTCTGAAAGAGTTTTTCGGAAATTTAAAGATAATTTATCCGGGAGAGATCCTCCAAGAATTCAGAAAGAATCCTTCGTGGAATTAAGGCACGTTTCTTCTGGAATTTCAGAGTTCGTGAGAGAATTTTAAACATTTCTACGGGAATTTTGAGAGAAATTCTCTGGATAATCGAAGATTTCCTCTGAAAATTCTTACAGAAAAACTTCAGGTTCTTCCGGAAAGTCGACCAGTTTTCCTCCGGGAATACTAAAAGAATTCCTTCAGGAGAGGGTAAAAGATTCCTTTCGGGAGTTCTAAAAATGTTGCGCAGAGTATTTCCTCGGGATTGAGAGAGAATTCTCCTGGGAATTTTACTCAGAAAGATTTTCTTTAGTATAGTTCTGTTTGAATTCTTTTGAGAATTCTGAGAGAATTCTTCCGTGCCCTTCCAAGAATTTTGAGAATAATCCTTCGAAAATACTAATGTAATTCTTCAGTAATTTAGAGAGCATTCTTCTGTGCCCTTCCAAGAATGTTGAGAGAACTGCTCGGAGGATTTTTGAGAGGATCTGAAAATTCTGAAGGAATGCTCCGGGAATTCAAAAAGAATCCATGGTGGAATTAAGATAGAGTTCTTCCGGAATTTTATAGATCCTGAGAGAATTAAAAAAAAATCTACGGGTATTTTGATAAGCTCTGGATAATTGAAGATTCCTTTGAAAATTCTTACAGAAAAACTTCAGGTATTCGTAGAGTTTTGAAGTCGACCAGTATTACTCCGGAACTACTAAAAGACTAATTAACACCTCCATTCGAGCAGTTAAAATGACGCTTACTACCATTCGAAGTATGAAATAAAACATTATTTTGATATTTTATCTCCTAGAACCTCGAGAAAAGTTGCCAACATTTGTGCGTTTCATAAAAAATTGAAATTAGTTGGTCCAGTTTTGTGAAATCGCTGGTAGAAAGCCACGCCAAAACTGCTTGACAAAGTGGTCAATTCCTTCAGTAGATGGGAAAGAATTCCTTCGGGAGTTCTAAAAATGTTGCGCAGAGTATTCCCCCGGGATTGTGAGAGAATTCTCCAGGAAATTCAGAAAGATTTTCTTCATTAAAATTCTGTTTGAATTCTTTTGCAAATTCTGAGCGAATTCTCCCGTGCTCAATTATTTATTGAATTCCCAAGAATCTTGAGAATAATCCTTCGAAAATGCTGATGTAATTCTTCAGTAATTTAGTGAGAATTTCTCCGAGAATATAGAGAAAGATTTTCTCCTGGAATTAAGAAAGAAATCCTCCAAAATTTCAGAGACATTCCTTCTGGGAATTCTAAGAGAATTCCTCCAAGAAATAGAGAATTTATGTGGATAATCGGAGTTTTTCTCTGAAAATTCTTAGAGAAAACTCCAGGAAATTGTAGCGAATATTTCCAGAAATTCAGAATTAATGCTTCCGGAAAGTTTAACAGTATTCCTCTCAGAATACTAAGCCATGGTTATTCGAATTCTGAGAAAGTTGCTCAGAGAATTCCTCCGGAGATTAACAGAGAATCCCTTCGGGAATTCAGAAACAATTAATCCCTTCATTTGAGCAGGTAAAATGACATTTACTACCACTCGAACTTCGAAATAAAACAATAATTTGATATATTTTCTTCCACATCCACGAGAAAAGTAGACAAGATTTGAGCGTTTCATTAAAAAATATTAATTTGTTGGTCCAGTTTTGAGAAATCGCTGGTAGAAAGACACGCCAAAACTGCTTGACGAAGTGGTCCATTTCATTGGTAAAATTCTTTTTGAATACAATCGAAGATTCTGAGGAAATTGTTCCGGAAATCATAAAAAAAAAAACATCTCCAAAAGTTCCGAGAGGATTCCTCTAAGAGTTTTGAGATAATGCTTGCAAGAATTTTGAAAGAGACCTTTCATGAATTTTGAGGATTACTCCGAAAATTCGGTGGGTATTACTTGAGAAATTTCAATTGAATTTCTCCGGAAATCCAGAGAGAGTTCCTCTGGGATTTAAAAAGAAATTCCTTCTGGGATTAAGGTAGAATTCGTCCAGATTTCTAATAACTAGTGCGAATTTATGTCACTATGATGCACATAAATGGAGCGACAAATATCATACAAGTTTACATTATAGATCGTTCATGAGACATTTCATGAAATATTCCAAATTTTGTATGCAATCATCCATTTTTGTAAGCAACATTTCTTGCAAGTAACTAGTTTACGTGAAAAGGAAGTTTGCATCACCAATTCAGATTTTTTTTCTATGTGCCATGATGTGAACCTTGTGGCACACCAGATGGTAGACAGATTGCCTTCAAATTTTACCTTTTGCGTCCTCCCGTGATAAGTACGAGTCGATCAATTTCAGTATCCTGGATTAGAGGGATTGAAGTTTAATTTAAGCTTCAAGTGTCCATATTTTTAAATATTCCAAAAATATGCATTTATTATTTATTGAAAATGAAAAATTGAACTAATAGAATATTTGATACTCTGGAAATTTTTTATCTAGATCTCTACCGGAGAAGGTGAATTGAAGTGGGACTTTTCTGCAACCAAAATTTCAGCCTAATGAGCCTTTTGGCCTAATGGCGTTCGGCCTAATGACCCCATCACCATGACATTTCAGTGTACTCGAGAATTATCACTTCTTTTCAAGAGCCAACCCACGCCCACCATACGTCTATCCGATTTCCCTTCGTTAGGTTTATTTCGTTTCGATTTTCATAGAAAGTGCTCCCACAAATACTACGCGGAACATGTCGTACACGTTCCGGAACATTTTCGAAACGATTCTTGACCGAGTCAGAGAATGTAGACAAAAATGTTGATTTCTCAGAAAGGTTAGTAGCTTTGATTTTTTTTCCCACTACCAGTTTTCAGTAGGAGGTTAATTCTATTCGGTTTGAAGTTGTTTTCAATGCTTCAACTTGCTGGGAGTTTTAAGTTTTTATCTTTTTCTTTTTTAGGATTTGTTTTAGTTAGAAGGATTCAGTGTGTTATTTATGCTTTGTTTAGTTTTTGTGTTGTTTGTTTGTCTTTTATTTACGTTAGGTTAATGTGTTTTACGTGGGCCTTGTCTCAACATAAGGGAAAATTAGTCTGCCGCTTGTTATTTTCGGTACATCATTTAATTTTGAATCACTTCACGTTCATCTATATTCTGTGTAGTTTAGTTAGCAAGTGTGAACTGGTTCACTGTTGTATCGCACCGAATAATACCACCCACATTCCACTGTTACATACCAACATCATCGCTTCATCGATTATCTAGATGTTTGATTTAATTTCTCTCTTAGAATTGTTTCCGTGCCATGGTTATTCGAATACTTTTTTAATCTTTGCGTTTCCTATTTCTCTTCTATTCCCGCCTTTATTTAAAATTTGCACCTGGTCCTCATTTCACCTGGTTGTTTTGCGTTGGATTTTCAACCCTACCCTACACACCACCACTACCACCATATCTTCCGCTTCGAGCGTCCCCTTAACAATCGCCTACAGCATCGTCATCGTCGGAAGCGGAGGACCACTCCTTCAACAACAACAACAGCAGCAGCAACAGCAGTAGCCGTGCCAGCAAATCGCCCCAGTCCAGCCCGCTTCGGAACCTGATCGTGCCTCCGTCGTTCAAGCGGGCTCCATCGTCCGAGGATGGCGGTACTCCGCAGGTTACACCTCAAGCGTCACCCAGACGACCACACCAGCACTAGGTAGGACACACCGATTCTGGCGATTTTGGTTACAAACCTCTTGAACGTCTTATCGCCACACCGAGAAGCATAATTACCGCTTTTTTCCCTTCGCTACCGGATAACCAACGAGAATTCGCGCTCTTTTAACCGAAGGAAGTGATCTTCATCTAGTTTGGAAATAGTCAATTTGATCAAACGCCGCGAACTTGCCTTAGTAAAGAAGGGGAAATTGGAATGTATATAAGTCGAATAGTAATGGTTGTGTAATCGTTTTGCAGCTTTACGGTTACGGAATTCAACAATCAATCCATATCATATGGTGGAGACGCATGGTTATCTGTCATTTTCGGTTTGAAACTGCCGGGTAACGATGCTTCTGCATTATACGAATTTTATCAAATTCCTAAAAAGCGGTAACGCGATTACATCACACCGTCGAGTTCATTCGTTGGCCATTCTTATTTTTGGTAATAAAAGACAATAACAATAAGAAGGGAAATATGATTTTGTTCAAACTTTTGTCTTGTTTTAGTATCTTTGCTTATTGGTAGCGTGATTTGGGTTAACATATTAAAACGTAATGGACATTGTTTCTGCCGGTAACTAGTATCGGAAAATGTTGCTTGTATATAAAAGAGCAAAATGTGCTGTGTGGAAAACGTAGTGACTCGAGCGTGTAGTTCTAGCTATTCGATAGTTGTATTTATTTATTAGGGATGATGATTGAATAACAATGCAATAGACTAAAGCAATCCGATTCATTTTGTCCGAAATTCCCTCGACAGTGGTGTTGCAACGAAGCTCAAAGCATATCGTTTATAAGCACTTTTGTAAATTTTCATTTTGCGAAACTAGGTTGTGGGTGGCCCCTGGATTTAAAAATGTAAATTATTTGATTTTCCCGGATTTTCAGGATAGTTTCTCTGATGTGGGTGTGTGTGTGTTTTTTTTGCAAGAAGGAAACCTTCAAAAAGGCCATCATGCCACCGCTTGACGACCGGGCGCACGGTCGCGGTGACACGGTGTGTGGGATTCTTACCGCACTAAAACCTCCTTGGACGTCTTACCCTTTTCCCCGGAACCACTTGTCGTAGGGGGCTGTGCATTACGCACCTCACTTTACCTCAGCTAATTGGCGCTTCCAGTTCGCTGATCGTCTCTCCAATTTGTAAGCCATTTAGCTCCCAGCGTCACGTTCTTCTCGGTTATCCCCCGGTGGTGGATTCAGCCTACTCTGACGGAGAGTTCTCCCGGCTTGGGCTTTCACTTCGCACTTGTGTGAGCACATTACTACTTTCTTTGGCCTATTCTACGCGGCGTGTGAGGTGAGGTGACACGCTGTCACTTGTGAAGTGACAAATGTCACCTCGGGTGAGGTGACTCTCCGTGCAAATCAAATGGAGAGTCACCTCACCCGAGGTGACAATTGTCACTTCACCATCACTTCACTGTCACCTCATTTCACACGCCGCGCAGAATAGGCCCATCTAGCTGGTCTTCTCGTCATTTTCGCTGCAGCGCTGACATGATCTGCGTTACTGTTCTGCTGACGGTGTTAAAGTGCCCTCCTAGACACATTTCTTCGACGACATTCTCCGCGCTAAGGGCGAGTATCTCCTCTCGAACATCATCAAATCTAGGACATTCGAAAACCACGTGCTCTGGTGATTCTTCCACATTCCCGCAGAAGGGTGACGTTGTGTGTCCGAACCGATGCAGGTACTTCCCTGAAGCAGCCATACCAGACAAGAACTGCGTCAAGTGGAAATTGACTTTTCCGTGCTTCCTGTTCACCCAGGTCGAAAGAATCGGCATTAGACTGTGTGTCCATCTACCGTTCTCTGCTGCATCCCACTCCTGCTGCCACTTAGCCATCGACACGGTTCTCACAATTTTTCGTACTCCTCTGGTTTCTCTCGTCATATAGCACTCGTAGTCCTCCGCCAAGGTGATGCCAATTGGGATCATACCGGCGGTAACGCATACTGCCTCCATAGAAATGGTTCTGTACGCACTCACGACTCGCAGGTCATGAGCCGGAACGTACTGCTCAATTTCCTTTGGTTCTGCTTCGTTTTTAGCGCTTTAATCCAGGCTGGACCTCCGTACCTTAAGCTGAGTTTAGACAGGGCAAGTCAATTGATCAAATCAGTTGAATTCAACTGACTTGAACGCGAATTGAACGTAGAAACCATGCCATTCAACTGACTTGATCAACTCACTTGAATTGAAAAAAGTTGAACCAGGCTCAACTTTTCAAGCTAATTGAATTCAACTGAGTTGATCATTTGACTTGCCTACTGTAAACCCAGCTTTAGTATCGATGAGGACACAATACGCTTTGTAAGGAATAAAAGGAAAAGAATAGCCACCGCAACCAACTGAAGCTTAAATAGGGTACCTGGGAAACGCACAATACCAGCGGCAACAGCCAGCAAACCATTCCCAATCGTATTTAGTTTTTGAATATTGTTGCATTAGGTCGTATGAATAAAAGCGTTTACTTTACTTTTCCCGTAAGAAAAGCACGGGAAAGTAAAGTAAACTCTTTTTATTCATACGGCCCATTGTAGCAATTTGTCTTATTGGCATAGGCGTAGCCAGAGAGGGGCATGAGGGGTTGACTGCCCCCCCCCCTAAACTTAACAACACAAAGGCGTTGGGGGAAATGGCGTTCGGTGAAAGGGCATTCGGCCAAATTTTCCATAGTAATTTTTTTTCGCCCCTCCCTAGCTCGAAACCTGGCTACTCCCTTGCTTATTGGTCGTGTATGTTTTGTGGGAGCTGACATTTGTGCTGTTGAAGCTTCATGTATGTTTAAAGATATTAAGGAATGACCAGATAACTTTGGAACAATTCTGAAAACTTTAGGGCACTTCAATGAACATCAGAAACATTGTGAACTTTTGGACAGTAATATGATAGATTTAAGGTGATACTCTAAGGAAGCCTTAGCGTGAACCTTTAAAGGCACAAATGTCAGCTTCCACAAAACATACAAATTTGAAATTGCTACTCCTTGTTTGCTGTGATACTACAAACTACTACTACTTCAAGAAACTTCCAAAAACCTCAAATTAGTTCCAAGAATTTCAAGATCATCCAGAGCTTCGGGGAAGTTTACTTAGATTTAAGCACAGACAAACAGACGTAACTCTTTGAAAAAGTGTTTCTTGAAAACATAGTATCTCAAAACATAGGACCTCAGTAACGACATCTCTCGGGCTTCTCGCGGAAAACAAACTTGCTCGCTAACTCGCAAACAATATTGCATAAAAATTCTTTAGAATGTATAGAAACGTCAAAGTGATCCGATGCCAGCGCTGCGACGGGTAGTTCGCGGAACTGATAATATTCAAATCAACCGTTAAATGCGTGAATGAAGATACACAATGAAGTGATACATCTGTTTGTCTGTGATTTAAGGGTAAGTTTCAATAGCAGCAGGGCTGTTCCATAGATTTCAGGAAACATTCTTGAACTCGTATGAAGATAAGATACCTTCAGGGCAGTTCCATTAACTTTAGAAAACTTGCAGGAACTTTAAAGAAGTTGCCCCGTAACGTGGGTAGGTCACCCTTTCGCGGTACGTTACGGGATGTAAGATCTACCACCGATTCCTAGTGCTGACTGCTTCAAACTAGGGGAAAAGGATTTTTCAGTGATCAGTAAAGTGTGAAGGAACACATTTTAGTCCTTGTTGTTTTTTATGCCTTCTTAATAGCGACAAGACTCGGCTTTGTCCACCGAGGATGATCTTGAAACAAGGAAAAAATGAGTTAGTTAGTCTGCATATATGTGATGCCTAATCTTCTATTAGTTGTTCCCTAGTTTGAAGTTGTTAAGACTATGGTTCTGATGCATGGTCATTATCGGTGTCACATAATTTTTTTAAACTAGTTCGTTTATTTGGAAGGCCTAATCGCATTAGCTTTACGCAGCCTGAACTATGCTTTGTTTGTAACAAAATTCACTTAATTCTATGTCTAGTAGGAGTTGGGCCGAATACTCGCGGCTTACCCGAGGTTAGAGGGGTACATTGTCGAAGGATAGGAAAAGGGGAGGAGCTTGGGGGTGAGGTTTCGTGAACGGTAGTGCGGTTCTAGTTTCGTCTGGAGTTCGACCGGCTATGGTGACCAGTGGGCGACGATGAGACTCATCGAGACGGGGGAACAAGACAAACAAAAACTATCAAAGAGAGACAAACGACAAAGGAATTATATTCTTATACTAGACATTTAAAGAAACACATAAGCCGACTGCATATAGCTGATATCACGAGCTCCCAACACGTCTCTGATAGGAACATAGTGTTGTCTTATCGGTGTAACATTAGATCATATTTAATGGAAACTTACATTTGTTGTAGGATGTAAGAAAGCCACCATTACAAATGATGTTCTTGCGTGTTTTAAAATAATGTGACATCCTCATTCTCAGAACCACCTCGAAACTTTAAATGCACAAATATATAAAATATTTTCGGAACTGGAAAACCGCGAAATACATTTAAAAATGGCCAAAAACTACCAACATTTTAAAAATATCTACTTTCAAACCGCTTCATCTCGAAAACGGTGCGACTTAGCAAAATTTTACTGGGGTGCTTTTTTATTGTAAATTTTAAGTACTTTTATTATATAAAGTCAAAACAGTAATTGTACCAAGTTTTGGATATTTTTCCAAAAACGAGTTTTAAAAAAATCAGAACTTTTTTATCCATCATTTCATCTTGACCTATAGTGCAATAGATGGAATTTTTTGTCCCCTTAAACATATCAACAAATAAAGAATACAAAAATCCTTTTTTGAGAAAAAAATGTTTTTAAGCTTCATTTGAAATTAAAAAAAAAAGTTGGGTAAATTTTCTTAGAGTGCATAAAATATGCACTCTTAAATAGTCTCATCTATTACCTGCAATATTGTCCAAGACTCCAAGCCTTGTCCAGTTTTCGAGTAAAAATTTTCTGTAGATAAGCTTGATATTTTTCTATATGTTCTTTTCAAAAATAAAGCTGGATTCAAAATGGCGATATGAAGATGCAAAATAACACTGTTGGTCATTGGCAAATCAAAATTGGCACTCGTGGAGAGCTTGAGCTTGCTTGCTTGAGCTTGATTGACCGCCCACGGTTGCTACTCTGTTACTGCCAGATCAGCTGTAATTACACAGAGAACCAATAGACGATGCTTGGGACTAGCAATCATCCTCAAACTGGTGATCTTAAATTAGGCAATACCAGCGCCGGCCGCGCCCGTACACAGGTCAAGAAAGGAGTGGGAAGGATTGTGTTGACATGACACTCGCTTTGATGGAAGCCGAGAACACCTCTGCACTTCCACGAGGAATCACTGGGATGTTGGATAAGAGGGTTGGGTTTGCAGCAGGGTTCGTTTTGGTAAACGATAAGCTGAATTGATGTCCTAACGATCATATAACGCGAAGGAGCTTGGGACTAAACCCACGGTCTTCTGCTCAGTAAGCAAAAACGTTTGCCACTAGGCAGACGAGCACCTTTTTAATCACCGAGTTGCTGTTATTTCCATGTAGTCATATTAACAAATACAACGATTGACGAATCTTGAATGTGGATGGGCCTGAGATTAGACTCATGATGTTCTGCTAAGTAAGCAAAAACGGTTGCTCTAAGGCCACCGAGCCTCTCATATCACATAATACCGTTGCTCAAATTTGTGTATCCATTCAAACCCGGAACCAACGACAACAACGAGTTTCGCAAAATACAC